TCTCTTAAGAGAGATGAGTGAAACTTTCATAAATCTTTGGATTGATTGCTAAATTTCTTAAGTGAGCTTGGAAAATAGAAAGTAGAGGAGGAAGAGTTTGGAGTCCACCATAGCCTACATGATAGAGCAAGGGTCCTTGATGAGTATAGTCAATTCTTGAAGCTCAATTGTCACATTAGAACTATATGTGCATGAATGTTTAACTTGTCGCCTTGTTAATAATGCATGAGTAGTGTGGGTAATTATTGGTCCCAATTGATGTGTGAATGGCTCACCTTTGACTCGCTGAAATGACCCTTAACTTTTGGAGGCGGGAACTAATTTGTTTGCTTGAGGACAAGTAAAAACTTAAGTTTGGGGGAGTTGATAAGTGAGGATTTTGACTGCTTATTAGCACCTTTTAGCTTTTGTTTTGTTCCGAAAGTATTAAATTGTGCTTCCGAAACTAATGAAATTGTGCAAATTGCAAGAATGCTAGAAGTTCGGTCTCCGGAGATGAAATCCGACTAAAAAGGAGTGTTCTGAAGCACAAGTAAATAAAAAGTGCAGAAGCATAAATGTGTAGTCCGCAGAAGAAATTGCGGACCGCAGAATTCCATATGTGGCCGCAAACCAAGAAGAAAAACCCAATAAGACTTTCAGCAATATGCGGACCGAACATGAATTGTGCGGCAGCAGAACTGGGCTTTTACTAACAAAGATGCAAAGTTCAGAGAATATACAAGAAGAGCAAGTCTTGGAGCCTTTGTGAGGTGCGGACCGTACAAGAATTGTGCAGCCGCAGAAGTTCTGCAAGCTGAATATATATGCGGACTGCACATGGAATTGTGCGGCCACAGAACCTCCCGAGGGATATTTTTGTCTATGATTTTTTGCCCCGTATAAATAGACGAGTTTCACAAAATTAGGTCAAGTTTGAACACTAAAAGTTGTTGTAGCCGTTTCTTTTTACTACTTTAGGAAGTTTTACATTATTTTGGTGTATTAACATTAGATTTCATCATTTTAATCTTTAATTATGGGTTTAATTAGCTTATCTTCTTTATTCTCTTCAATACCCATTATGAGTAGCTAGATTTTTACTAGGGTTGTAATCCAACCCTAGTGTGTAAACCTTATGGGTGATTAATTTTAATGCTTGTTTATGATTGGGTATTAATTATTTAGCTTAGTTCATGGTTCAATTTTAGAATTAATGGTTGCAAATATTGATTCATGCCTATTTGACTTAGTCTCTACTTGAGAAAGAGAGACCTAGTCTAGGATAACTTGGCTAATAAGTAATTGGGTTAATTGAGAGGCTGATTAGCCTAATTAAAGGGTTCAAACTAGAGATAGTAAGAACCCGACTTGAGCTCATATCAACTATTTTGTTTGATACCCATTTGGACTTAAGAAAGTCAAATTGGGTAAAATTACTCTCTGACTGAGAGGTATTGAGTGGGTAACGTGGAGTTGAGAGTTATAATACACCCAATCAACAAAACAAGTATTAACATCTTTATCCTATTAGGCAAACACCTAGGTCATGGTCACAACCCCAGGCCTTTAAACTATTTGGAAAAATATCAAAAATATTTATCTCTAGTTTACTTCCCTTAGCTTACAATCATTAGAGTTATAGTAGAAGTAGAAATCAAAACTCTATTGTGGAAGTGCAAATTTAGGTAGTCCATTCACTTGCTTCAAATATATACTCTTGACACCCCTTATAAATCCTAGTGGATTCGACCCCGACTCATAGTTGAGTAATTATTATTGCATACGACCGTATCATATCTCTTGTTGAGATGTGTTGTGGACGTCATCAATCTTATAGTTATTCGACTTGATATTAGCTATGCATTACAGAGTTTTAGCCAATTTATGCAACTACCTAGGAAGTCACATATAGATGCTGCAATTAGAGTAGTCAGATACTTGAAATCTGCACCAGGAATGGGTGTGTTGATGAAGCGAGGACCTGTTGATACGTCGACTGGCTTTGTGACTCTGACCGGGCAGCATGACAATAATAAGGAGGTCTGTTAATGGTTATACAGTCAAACTTGGTGAATCATTGATTTCATGGAAATCAAAGAAGCAACACGTTGTTTTAAGGAGCAGTGTTGAACTAGAATATCACAACATGGCTTCATCAGTTTTTGAGATAGTGTGGTTACTGGGACTGTTTTCAGAGTTGGGAGTTTTTATTGTTAAACCAGTGACATTATTCTGCGATAGTAAGGCAACAATGCAAATAGTCGCAAATCTCATTTTTCACGAGCTCACCAAACACATCGAGATATATTGCCATTTTATTCGAGAACGCATTAAAAAAGGTCTATTGACTACTCAGTATGTCTCAATTAAAGATCAACAAACAGATCTTCTCACCAAAGGTTTAACATCAGGACACCATCATTTTTTGCTTGGCAAGCTGGGTGTGTTGAACATTCCCCACCCTCTAGCTTGAGGGGGAGTATAGGAAGTTAGTGAGTTCATTATAATTTATTGGGGTCAAAATATAATTACTAGAAGTTTGAGGTCCTTATTATTATTTTAGTTTCTCTCTTAACCACTTTGTATATATGTGGGCGGTTATGGTTGTTAATAATAGAAAGAGAAAATTTCCAAAACACTTGTCTTCTTCACGCTTGCAGCTGACCTCCATGGATGAATTCTAACAACCTTGTATGCGGAGAAAAGTATATAAAGAGAAAGGCTTCTAAGCTTTATTATTTGGTCTTTAAGACATATAATTTCACCATCAAAGGTTATGGTGGGGTGAATAGGATACATTTACCTTTAACTAGAAGCTTTGAGTTCGAACCTCTGAAATAAAATATTTTTACTAAAGAGCGCTTTACACTTTAATAGGCCTTAGGCGGTGTTAATTCAAATTATTAGGGATGTAGGTTTTGGAGAGATATATATGGAGAAGTGCACAAACAACTAATTTTAGGACCCGGTTTAAGCAAAATCGAAGTTCATAAAATTTTGTAAGTTTAACTGCGTCAAAAAACTTCAAACTCGTGAGTTTGAAGTTAAAATCTTTTAGGCATATGAAGTTGGGCTTACGAAAGCCTAACTTAAAATAAGTTGGCATATTAGAGCAAAATTCATTTGTAGCTACTCGACCAGAACTTATATTACCCGATAACCATAAAATGACCTCATACAAGTCATAACCTAAAAACAATAATAAGGGCTATTTTTCTTTCTGCTCCTCCGGTCCCTCACCGCACATTACTGGAAATCAAAGCTGAAATCTTCTGTAATTATTTTCAACTCGTTGTAAGTGATTCGAGTTAGCATAATTTCCGGTAAGATTGGCTCTAAATCCAGAAAAACCTCAGCCTTGCTGGACTCATATCTCCTCTTTTTGATAAGGACAAAGCAGGTACTGATACTTAAAATTATCCCAAAGAAAGCTGCAAGAGTAGATCCTATTATCACTCCGAGAGGTCTTGATTTTTCTCTTTCAGAAATGATTGGAGGCTGATTCTGTGCCTTTGCGGAATTCTGTGCCTTTGAGGAATTCTGCTCCTTAAGAAATACTCTTTTTTTCCCCTCAAGGCGTGATGTGAAATTGCAGAGAAAAAATCAGGTATTAACTTAAACCTTGCATAGCTAGTGAACTTAGTTTAATTCATAAATATTTTTTTTTAAAAAAATATATACTAAATAGACTGTCACTATATAAAATATATACAAAATAGACTGTTACTATACAAAAAATATACTAAATAGACTGTCACTATACAAAAAATATACAAAATAAACTAACTATATAAAAAATATACTAAATAGACTGTCACTATATAAAATATATACAAAATAGACTGTTACTATACAAAAAATATACTAAATAGACTGTCACTATATAAAATATATACAAAATAGACTGTCACTATACAAAAAATATATAAAATAGATATTTCGGGCTATTAGATGTAATATGTTTGGGTCGAAGGGTCATTTCGTGTAAGTGAAAAAAAACATGGGCTATTAAAATTTAGAGGGGCTATAAATGATAGTTTTCTCTATTACTTTTGTAAGGTTGTTATTGAATTTGCCAAAGCCTAACTTCAAACAATTTGGCATATTTCTTGTGCAAATTTATCTGAAATTTGGTTTAGCAATCCCAAGTCTGAAGTTTGAATTTGAAATACAAACTAAACTTCAGACCCCCGTCTATGCACCTTTTAATAAGTTCCACTGCATTTTTTTTTCCTTCGATTAGGATAAAATTAGTAATAGAAAAATTCCATCGTTGAATTGAAATTAGTTAATCTCCATCCCTGAACATCTCTATATATTAATGAATATGTGAACTTGAACCGTGCTTTTCTTAAAACATGGAGAATTTGAGGACTTGCAGCAAATCATCCCAAGTACCAATATGGATGCAAAACATATTCTAATGGTCAATCTTCATACTTAATTATGCTATTAGAGATACTTGATGCTATTTAACGAAATATTTCTAGTACCAATACGGATTTGACATTGTAATGTCAAATTAAACCTACTTCTCTTAAGATGGGGCAAGGATCTATAACATCAAACTTTGGTTTTATATTTATAACAATAAAGGAGGAGAAGAATAGGTTTTTGTATGAAGTTTGTCAATTGTCAACACTTATAAATTAAATAATTTGAAAATTTTAGATAGATTTTTGTCAGAAATTTGCACTACAAGTTAAATAATAGCAGTGTAAAAATTAGCTATCAAGTACAATTCCGATTAAATTTTTTGTAGTGAAATGGAATATTTTGAGGAAAACTCGGCCAAGAGTTCTAAATTGTTATTTTTGAGCAGTCAACCAGACACACCACTTATTATCCCGTTTGTTCGAGATCAAAATTGCAGCAAAATAAAAGCTTAGAGGACTATTTATGCTGAGAGTTATATTTTAAAAGGATGAAATTAGACTAATTCTTAAATTTGAGGGACTATTTGGTCAAAAACTCACCAAACGACCATAATGGTTATGTGGACAAAAATCCCGTCCTAGGGAGGAAAAGTCAAGTCTAGTACTTGTATTCTTCTCCCCCGCCGGAGTTCAATCCTGCCTCCATTTCATTGTATTACTTCTTGGTTTTCAATTCACAAAATCTACTGTTGATTGAATCAAGAACAAACTAGGGGGAGGGGTAATAAATCTATATGGAGAGAATAATTGGGGAGAAGTACAAGTTAGGTAGGAAGATTGGAAGCGGCTCTTTTGGCGTTATATATCTGGGTCTGCCCCTTCTTCTCTTTTTCTTTCTTTTTTTTTTTTTTTTTTTTTTTTTTTTTTTTTTTTTTTTTTTTTTTTTTTTTTTTTTTTTTTTTTTTTTTTTGGAAATTAAGTCTGCTATTATATTTTATAGAATCTGATGGTCTTTTATGGTTTTCTGCTAAATTTTCAGCTACCCACATCGAAACCTTTGAGATTGTTGCTGTTAAAATTGTAAGCTTTCTTGCCTAGATTTTATCTCTCCCTCTCTTTATTTGGTTTAAGAAGTTGTTTGGCAGTTGCTGTTGTTATTCATCTAGCTATGTTAATCATGTACTACAACTTTAAAATTTCATTGTTGATTGTTAAGTGTACCTTGTATTTTGATCAATTAACATTTTCATTATAAAACACCAAAATGATGTGAAATTTATTATACAAAGTGAGCATGTGGCTTAACACCATTTTAGAAGATCCTCATGCTCTTTCTTAAGTTGTCCACTGTTAAAATGACATCCCATAATTTTCTCTAAAAAAATGATATCCATATTGTACACTGCTTTGTGATTTCCAAACTTTTCTCCTTCCCTTTTACGCCCCCTCCATGCCAACTCCAACCAATATGATTAAATTGTAAAGGATTTCGTCTCTGCCACTTAGATATAATCTTATCTCCTCCCTCCCCCCACTGAATAATCGTGCATTTTAGTGGAGAAATTCCTCAACCTCGTCGCATTCCCAACATTAGATGCCCTCCTAAAACTTATATCTCATGGTCCACCGACCATCAGAATTCAAGTAATTGGCTTCTGTAACTTCTATGACATTCACCTGACCATCACCAAATCATATACCTACGAATAACATTCTCCTATGCTATCCCTTGTACCATACATCTTTTGAGAGATGTACTCTAGTATCATTATCCTCATTACAGCCAATGCATCTCGAGTACTTTTCCATTCCCTCTATAATTCACTTCACTAGCTCACTCAATAAGAGTTTCACCCTCTGCTAGTCGTCCAGCATCTAATAATCATCTGAGGAGTTATGCATAACCATTTTCCTAGTAGTGCCATCTTGAAGGTGGGCAACCTTCAGATGGTGTATCCCTCACTGAATGGAAATAAAGAACTTCCTCCATTCCAAATAATATTTGTTCTTTTATCTATTTGCAACATTTGCTTCCATAAAGCATTCTCCTCTTGTGCAAATCTTTCATCGTCATCATCATTGTTAGTGTACTTAGTTGTTTGGACAGATGTGGTTTACTCCTCTGAGCTCTAGTTCCAATTTAGTCCCAAGTTCCAATATCATGGGGTTTCTTTCTGTAGTGGGATTTGGTATGCTCATTTGTCTATGGCTGCTTTGAGTTAATAGTTGAGTCACTTCTTTTGCATTATGTAATTAGCTACTCGTTCTGTCATCTGTATGTAAATTTTAAATAGAAGCCATCCTTGTGCTCACAAAAACACTTTCAAGACTAAAGTGATAGTCTTCCTAAGGATTATATTTGATTTGTGTTCCTCCATATGTAAACACGTAATACTGATTGACCAATGTAGTTTGTAGATTAATTTGAATCCCATAATTATCCTACCTCTTCCATTTCTATAGCATGATGTATTTCCTGGTTTAATCCCAACAAATAATCTTCTTTAGAATGGATTATTCAAAAAAATACTTACATAAGATGCCCAAACATCAATGACATGGATGGAGGATGTGAGGATATCTAGTTTTAAGCAACATTTGAGTTAGAAATCTTAGTTGTGGTTGCTAGAAAGGCTGAATCAGTCATTTGACTCTGCTCTCTGTGATTGCAGGAAAATAGGCAGACAAGACATCCTCAGTTGCTTTATGAGGCAAAGCTGTACACTATACTTCAGGGAGGAAGTATGTCTTCCTTTATCTTTATGTTTAATGTTTGTTATCTTTGTTATTCATTATTAGTTATTACTTGTTTGTTTTGATTTCAGGTGGTATTCCTAATATAAAATGGCGTGGGGTCGATGGGAATGATAGCGTCCTCATTATTGACCTGCTTGGTCCCAGTCTTGAAGACCTCGTTGTACACTGTGGGAGGAAATTCTCACTGAAAACTGTCCTAATGTTGGCTGATCAGATGGTAATCAAAATATTACATACCTCTGTTTCTCTTTGTTATTGCCTTTGTCCCATGACGTCTATCATGGAATTATGAATAATGGAGTTCATAACTACTGGGGATTCTTTTCTGTGACAACCCAGATCACGAGAATAGAGTATTTGCATTCAAAAGGATTTCTACACAGAGACATAAAACCAGATAACTTTCTCATGGGTCTTGGCAGGAAGGCAAATCAGGTGATGATCTTGTTAGATAAGCTTCACGGTCATGTCATTTAACCAATCATTGGTTTTCCTCTAATATTCTGTTTTACCTTTGGCTTTGTATTCTTGTTGTCCCTATTGATGGAGCAGGTGTACATTATTGATTTTGGACTTGCAAAAAGATATCGTGACCCCGCCACAAACCGTCATATTCCTTACAGGTGTGCCTATATTTGGTTTTATGCAACTTCCCTCTGGAAGCATATGACATTCGCTGTTCAGTATATTCCTTTTTGCCCTGCTCTTTCAGTAACAGAACTTCATTTTAAGTGAAAATTTGATCACTACACTTGCATTTTATTGATTGTTATTATTTTGTTTATGTGATACTTGGTTCTTTGCTATCATTAAGGAGTTGATGATTGAAAACTGTGTATTGCTTGAAATTTGTCAAAATTGAAAAGGCATATCCTATTTATTTATAGAAGAATCCCAGTAGGCTTCACGGCCTAAGAAAGAAACCACTTTTGCTGGTTTTCTGTTTCTTCCCCAGTTTAAATTATTTTTGTCTTTCCAATTACTTGAACAGTGGTTCTTGCCACTTCTTGGTGCTGAGTTACTCTTCTGCCTCCTGTACTGTTACAGAGAGAACAAAAACTTGACAGGGACAGCAAGGTATGCCAGTTGCAATACACATTTGGGGATAGGTAAAATTCTGTTGTATCTTGGTTTCTTATCTCTGAGATTGGACATTGTACTAAAATATCCCCTTTTCAAAATCTTTAGAGCAAAGCCGGAGGGATGATCTGGAATCTCTTGGCTACGTTCTTTTATACTTCTTGAGAGGCAGGTGTGGCCACTTTTCCTCAATGCTATTTCTCATTTACTATTGTTGATTTTTCTTTGGTTTGTTTTTTGTTCTTTTCTGTTATTGAGAAAATTAATGGCTTGACTTTCTCATGTAGCCTTCCATGGCAGGGTCTAAAAGCTGATACCAAGAAGCAAAAATATGACAAGATCCGCGAGAAAAAAGTATCAACACCAATTGAGGTATGTTTTAGGAAGTTGGATGGCTAGATTCTTTTTTTTTTTTTTTTTAAACATATATACTCCCTCCGTTTCAGTTTAAATGACACATTTTTCTTATTAGTCCGTTCCAAAAAGAATGATACGTTTCTATATTTAGAAACAATTTAATTTTAAACTTTTCATTTTACCCACTTTATCCTTAATGCGAAGCTTTTACAGCCACACAAAATATCATGGCCCCACAAAGCTTTTACCCTTAAGTTTTTAGGACCACATGTTTCAAAAGTCTTCTGTTTTTTCTTAAACTTTGTGCCAAGTCAAACTACATCATCTAAATTGAAACGGAAGGAGTATAATATAAAGGTGACATCCCGGCCAACTTGCTTGCGCGTTGGCTGATTCACAGAGTGCCTACTACATCCCTCCAGTATAGGTACTGTGTAACTTGCCTATCAAGACTTAAGTAAGTGGAAAGAATTGACGTCGCCTCTGTTTGGACACCTTGGTTGCCAAGAATGTCACTTCAGCTCTTTGACCTGTAAACCATCCCTTTGGGGGCGGATGACTAGATTCTTCTTCTTTTTGCTTTGAGTTGGTGCATTTTTAATGGGTTAGACTAGAAGGGGCCTAAATAGATTGTTTTATAACTTTAGATTAACTCTCATCCAATCTTGAGCCGAGGGTCCGGAAACAGCTTCTCTACGGGTAAGCTCTGCGTACACACTACCCTCTCCAGACCCCACTTGTGGGATTACACTGGGTTTGAGGTTGTTGTTGTTGTATTAATTCTCATCCAAAATGAGAATTTGGAAATGACCTGTACTATGGCCATTTGAAATCTAAAGCTTCCTTGAGTATCAACTGGCATATTCCAAGCTTGGGCTTTGTCCGTGCTGAATCAAAACCAGAAAAATAAATGATAATCTATCTTACTTGGACTCTTCAAAAATGCCGCCGGATGCGTGTCAGGTCCTCCCTAAGTAGTGCATTTTTGGAGGATCCGACACGGGCGAGGCAAAATTTTTGGAGACTCCGAGCAACACATATGATGATGTATTTCAAACTATTATTGTGGTAATGGCTAATGGGTGCTACAATTAAAACATTATTAGGTTAAGACATACACAGTGACTTTCATTTCATTGCGTTTTATGGATAATCAACTGACGTTCAATTTTCTCGCTATAGGTTTTATGCAAATCTCTTCCAGTGGAGTTTGCTTCATACTTGCATTATTGTCACTCTTTAACATTTGACCAGCGCCCTGATTATGGATTCCTGAAGCGCTTGTTTCGTGACTTATTTACACGTGAAGGTACCGATTTTAAATTCAGATTCTAGCACAAGCAAAATGAACTTGTATTGTTGCTGCATTTCTTACTGTACTCTGACTTCTGGATATGATATTTTCGGGTCTCACATGAGAACCAAAAACAAAGATAGAAATCTGAAAAATGTGTGTGTAATTAGGACATATAAGATTAGGAACGTCAAAAACATCATTAATTCTGTGTCCATAATTATAGAGGGTTAACCTAAGGTGTCTAGCTTAATTGGATTATCTGCCCAGAAAGAGGTATTCAGTACTTTTATAAGTTTCTTGCAAATAGGCTTGATCTTTCTTAGGCAGAGTTCCCAACATACCTGCATTCTTGCAGGATTTAGAGTTATTTTATTGAAGTTTTTTTCTGAATATTGGATTGTGGTGACTACTGTTCTCTATCCCATCAGGGTATAAATTGGATTATGTGTTTGATTGGACCATCTTGAAATATCAGCAGACGCAGAGCTCAAGGTCGCAGCTAGAACTACCAGTTAGTACTTTCATCACTTTGTTTGTCGGCCAAAGTGCTGTTTTCATTGGCTTTAAATATTTTTTTCTCGTGTATGAAGACATCTGGTATTATATATCATCTTTATAAAAAATAAATTTGATTTTATGTTCTTTTCTCTGTCATTTGGAAATTGCAGAGCCTGCATCCACTTTCTGTAACAACGGGCACTGGAGCATTGCCAAAGGTTTTAAATAAGCAAGGTAACTTGTCTTCCGGCTGCAAATTAGCTCTTTGATCTGCTGATTTCGATCTCCAAATATGACAGCCGTTTCTGTAGAATAGCGAAAGCAATTTGTAGTATTGTGATTCTGTCAATTTTTGGAGCTGCTGTATAGACAGAACTTATTAGGGTGGGTGTGTGTGTGTGAAGTAATTCCTCTTTTTGCAATCTGCAGGAAGTTTGATTTTGAACTTTCCAGATGACTCCATTTTATCAGATTAAAACCTCGGATCTAGCTGTTTGAATTATCACAATTCATATGAACTTTCCTTAAGTATGACTACTTTTGCTCCATTTAGCTGACCTTAACCTTGTTATAGTTTTGGCAATCATCGATTCCCTTTAATATCTGCCATATAGAGAAGAGAGGAGTAAATCTCAAATTATATTTTTTGTTTGAGAGTTTACTGATATTTAACTGGTTTTAATCTTCATTTAGGATTTAATAATGCCACGCACTTAGCTGACGCTACAAAGCAGAAGGTATCCGGTAATTTTGCTCGTGGTGATGGATCAGCAACCTATCTGAAACCCGATAATCGTACTGGAAAAAATGTAAGTTCAATGTAAGCTGGAGATTCTTGTTGATTTTATCTATCCGATTTTAATTATATCAAACTTCAATATAGAGTGGCATTTTACCATCAAAAGATTCTTCTTGTTTCATTTAGTGGTCTTGTTTGCTGTATATGCATGCTGCATACTATTGCTCTATTTTTTTTTTTATTTGTTACAGATAACAACCGATGCTTCTGTTCCTTCTACATCGTTGGCTGATGCTTTCAAGAGATTCACAAAACACGAAGATTCAATTGAATCTGGAAATGTAGGTCATGCACACAGTGGAAAAACTGGTGCTTCAAGCAGCAAGCTGCATTTCTTAAGCAGGATTTCTTCAGCCAAGTGAACTGGTAGGGGAATCTCAAATTGTTTCTCTTTCTTTTAAGTTGCATCATACACAGCTGCATTTTTCCTTTTACAGGCCATGGATTAATAAGGCTATTCTTTCTCCTTTCTTTGGAAAAAAATAGGGATGATAGTTATTTGACGCGGCTAGAAGTGCAGAAGTCATCTAATGTCTACTTCGTGAAGTTGAATTCACTTGAGCCCTGTGTACCACTAATGTACCTATCTCGAGGTGACTATGAAGTATAAAGCATTGGATGTTGCTGAAAGATGGCCTATCAAAGCTTGGTTGTCTTTTTTATTTTTCTTTGTCTTGAATAATGGGACATTAAGCCAGCTACAGTTCACTATTAAATGATGTGTAAAGTGTTTCTTTCATTCATTTTCTAATTGCGTATAAAAGTGACATTCAAATGTTTGTTTGCTTTATGGCACTCTTATCTGAATTTTATTTCTTTAGTTTCTTTGCAAAAGCATTGATGTTTACGTGAATCAGTTTTAAACCTAGGTGCTCAAGTCCCTGAAAGTTCGAATCCAGTATAGAGCATTTCAGGTATATCAAACATATTTTGGTTGGTGTTCAGGTTCTCACTCTCTTTGTTAGTTGTGTATAATGTAGCTTATTTGCTTAATTTTCATGAATTTCAGACATCTATATGTCATGAATTTTGATGATGAAGCCTGCCTTTGGTGTTGAAGTTCCAATGGGGCGTCATCGTGGCTCTTAATAAATCAACCTTGCCTTTGTTTATAATCCTATACTTGCTTCGGAGATGATGGAACTTCTATCAGCTGAAGTAGCAGGTAATCAATCCGGAATTAGAGCCTTAGCTTTTCTGCTCCTTTATGTTTATCTAATCTTATCTAAAAACAGTCTTCATACCACTTCATGGTGGCCATTTTCGCTTCAAATAAGGCTTTTCATGTATTTAGCTCAATAATATCTTATTTCTCTCTCTGTATTTCTGCTCTTTCAAGTAGTGCATGGGACAAAGAAGTTATCGTAGTTTTGGTAATGTTCTGTCAAGAGGCTAGTTTGTTGAACTTTTTGGCAGAACACTAATTAGATACACCAATAAGTTTGGACCGAGAAGTTTCAATCTTTTCCATTAGCTTCATGTTACATTATTTGACACGTATCATACCCCAGTCGTAATTTTTTGTTTGTTGGTTATTTTGGTTGGTTGGGGGGGTTTATTTGTATCTTCATTTTCATCTTCATCTTCAGCACCAGATGATATTCAACAATGGTGAAATTCAGAGAAAAAAGAACACGGAATATTATTATTAGCGTTGCAAGACAAGATCCTAAGTCGGACAGGTGGTATTCTGGATTGAAACTCACAAAGACCAATCACAAGTCTGAAAATTTTGTGCTGAATTTAAATGAATAGAACACAAGTTTGTTCGTCTAGTTCTTGATGTGGTACAAGGCTTGTGAACCTCAGGGAACTGGTTTATTCAATGTTCAAGTGCTCTTTTACCTGCAAATACAGTGTAGCGGTGTAGGTCTAGAGTTATGTTGCTGAACATACCAAAACTAATCGTCCGTCCACCACTAATTGGGAATCTTTACTGCATAGCTTCCCATCTGCTGTTTTCTCTCAAACGCGCCATCACTATAAAGGTTACAATTTAAGTATTCAAAATGAAGTTATTATGAAATGTAAAATGGGTAAAAATTTATCCTTATTTTGTTCTTACGCCAAGCTAACTGTACTCTGGCAAGTACCGCAAAAACCTGTTGTCTTTTCCACATTCAGACTGATAATTGAAATACTTAGCATTCACTGTTACAATTGGAAGAAATTAATTGGCGCTTCATATTTTTTGATACATATATATATGACTTATTCTTCTTTCAAGGAACTTAGACATCTAGAATTTCTATGTATTTAGATTTACCCCCGAGTAAAGAAGAATACAATGCATTTTAATCCTTTGTAGCGTGCTACTTGCATCTTCAAAACATCTTGCATTCCTCTCCTCCACCAAATGTTTGAAACTATATTTATCTCAATGAATTCTTAAACTGATACTTGTATAATAAAAGCTAATTTTACAAGAACCTATTCAAACTGTGACAAGGACAGTGGAATCACATATTGAATTCTTCTACTGCAAACGCCAAATACAAGGGAAACATGCAAAGGGTAAAAATGGTGAAGGCTGATCTGCCATCTACCGTCTGTTATTAGAAGAGAAAATATACAACGTAAAGGAGGATTGTAGTCAAGTTGGAAAATGAGAACGAAACCTCCTAAATCCTAATGTTATTTTTAGATATTTAGAGCGCAAGAAATTACATGCGAGTGTCAAAATGAGTAATATATACAGTTGCATGCAAGTACCCTCTAAGGTATAAAAGTATATTCGTTATAACAAGAGTTGAGGACCTTTGATGCAATAGCCAAAATTTTAAAAGGCAATACATTTTTAATAATCACCAAATTCTCCATCTTCCACACGTAAAATATTTCTACTAAACCAAAATTTCCAAATTTTGGTGATTTCGTAAGCAAATGGTCCTTCCTAAATTTATGTTAAAGTGATAATGAAGGAGTTGGGACCTTGAAAGGACTTAGTGCTCCATTTGCTATCTCTTAAGACATGATTAGACACATAGCAATGATTAAAGGGTCAATTAAAAAGAGATGCTTTCTCTTCTTTCTTTTTTTCCTACTTTGTTGATTGCGTTGGAGTCATAAAACCCCATTTTAAGGTAGATACTTATCTATTTTCTTTCTCTCCTCTTTCTTCCGTGCGGGAAAGCGGGTGTTTAATCATCATTGCTTTTGCTAATGCTTAGATAACTAACCATAAGAAGTGTTATATTTCCCGAGTTAGCAAGCTATGTCCAGGGCTCTGGAGTCTAATCTAGCGGTAGGTAAGAACACATCGAGCTAATTATCCACCGAGTTTCATATCATGTACCATTAGCCCTCGCTTATGTTATAATAAAAAGTAGTGGTTTGCCCCAATTTTTAGTGAAAGTTACTTTACAAAGTATGAGAAAACATGAATAAAGGATGATAAAAACTTACCTGTATATGTGTTTATGCAAATCAATGCATGCAAAATAGGTCTTTCATCCACACATTTATCATTTAATCATGATTAAGCGCTACGTCTTCACTATAATTTTTAATTGCTAAGGTTAAATTTCTCGATTTGGTGTAAATAGTGTTTTAGGCTGCGGAAAAGCTTTTTGTACCTTAACACATTATTTTCTTTGTTTTTTTCTTTTGACTGCAAAAGACAATACCTTCCCCAATAGAAAGTGGTCAACAACTGAAATATAAGCAAAGGTCCTCATGTAGTTTTTCTTTTATTTCGTTTCCTCACCCCAACCAAGAAAACAAAGAAAATTGATTAATCAAATAAATAATAATGGACAATATTATTCAAATTAACTGGATATAAAAAGTAGTTAAAATCAGTTGGTTAACCATGCCGCTTAGCGCTTGTTTCATGTCAAAACAATTTCTTTAGACATAAAAAAGGATACATCACAGTTAAATTAATTAAAATAAAATCATTTTGGGTAAAGTATTATTTCGTTTTTTGTTCTTAAAATTCTTACATATCGCAACAGAGGCCGATGATTCATTCTAGTCGTTGTATCGTTCGTTTTCACAGTTGATGGAAAACCAAAAGTAAGGGGAAAAAAGCCACTTTGAACAAATGGATAAGGCATTCAATTCCATATATACTTCACCATTTGGCTTAAATGTTTAAGAAAAGTAAATGCCCTTTGATCATTTGTGCTGCTGCTGCACACCATAATTTCAGCAGTTTTTTGGACTTGAAAAATAGTATCGTAACTGTGAAACATCATATTTGTATAAGTTTATATCATCTTCTGCTGTAGTTTTTATTACAGCTCTGAAAATATATGCATGTAATGGAGGGTCCCTATTCTTTAATTTTCATGATGAAGCCCGCCGTTCAAGAACTAATCTTTATGTATAAAGAAGAAATAAGAGTAGAAAGACAGAGACAAAGACAAGTTGAAAATAAAGTTTAAGTGAACTTTTAAACTGGGACCTGTCAATATCCAATGTTAGAATACAGTCTTCCACTTCATTCCTTCTTTTTGAAGGGACTTTTGAATTTTTTACTCACAAGTTACTGAGTCCTACACTGTTATATATCACACTGTTTCCTTCCTCTTTTTTCCATTGTGCTTCACCTTGCATACTATGTTAACTTTCTTTGGTATCAACAGATAGATATAGGCAAAAGTAAGTGTTATTGAAGTTAAAAACATTCAAAAGTTTCACGTAGAACAAAGTTTTTACTTGTTAGTAACTCACTGATCTTCTCCTTTTCAATGGTTGTAATGGAGACAGTGAGATCTTGTGGTGTTAAATGCAAGTCAAATAAGTTGGAAGGGATAAATGAAGACAGTGCAGCAAATTGGCAACCATTGGCATTCCCTCCGCCAGAAACTCCTACTGAGTCTATGGAGTTCCTTGCAAGATCATGGAGTTTGTCAGCTATGGAACTCTCTAAAGCGCTTTCTCACACAAAACCAACAAGTTGTCTAGACGAGAAGATGTCATTCTCTTCGTTGCAAAGTCAACTTGGAAAAACATCGATTATGAAGGAACCTGTAAGCCTCTCTTAGTTAAAGCTTGTGCTTTTGTTCATTTACTTCCAGTTATGGAAATGCTTTACTTTCATTTATTGCTTACAAGTTTCTCTTGTTGTCTTTATATTGCAGCAAGAACAACCACCATCTAACTCAGATAGCCCTCCAGTTTCTCCAAAGGGAAGTGACAATACAAAGGTAAACCAAAGAGAGAAGCAAGAAGGGGAAGGGGGTTCCTATCTATTCTTGCACATGCATGCATGCAACTAAATCTTTTGGATATTTACATCCTTCTTTGAAATTATACAAGGATAACTACACCATTATACTTCATAAAAACAATTTATCATGTTCCGTTATTCGTATTTCTCAAGAGCACAAAAGGCATGTAAGGGTAGTAACTAGTAAAGTGTATGAAATGCACATGCACTAAAAGAAAGAGGAAATTGACTGTCCTATGAAAACCTGCACTTGAAGAGTTGAATTATAATTAGGCTAGAGGATTAACAGTAGTGGTGTACCATTTTAACTGAATTATATTGAACACAATTACACAAACTAGGCAGTACAACAATGAGTCATGCATTTGGTCGAAAGAATAACCATGAAGTCATCATTATTTTGTGAATCTAATTAAGTACATGGACTCTAGGTTGATGGAATTACACTTTCTTTCTTGGTCCTAAAATTACCCTTATCTCTCTCTGTCTTTCACTTTGAATAACCATAATCAGAACTAACTGTATTGATGTGTGCAGGAATTGTTTTTATTACATCAGGCACTCAATCCAGATTTCCTCTCTAGTCAACATTTGATGAAAGCTGGGGTATACATTTATTTTGGAAATATTTTACTAATGCATCTGAACCCACATGACCAAAACTGGCATAATGCAGCTCTACAGGACCGTGATGCGTGGTAAGACAATGGGTAGATGGCTAAAAGATCAAAAAGAAAAGAAAAAACAAGAGCTTAGAACTCACAGTGCCCAAGTGCACGCAGCAGTTTCAGTAGCAGGGGTTGCAGCTGCAGTGGCCGCTCTTGCAACCGCATCAGTAACTTCTCCAGAGAAGTCCACAACCCAACACAAAACATCTTCAAAGATGTCGACTGTAATTGCCTCTGCAGCAGCTTTAGTTGCATCTCACTGTATTGAAATTGCAGAGGACATGGGTGCTGAACAGGAACAAATCTTATTGGCTGTAAATTCAGCTATTAATGCAAGAACTAGTGGAGACATCATGACCTTAACTGCTGGAGCTGCTACAGGTATCAATCCAACTGGTCAACCGTTATAGAGATGCAAACAATTCTCGTCAACTGTTTCATACTATAAGGAAGCTTAAACAGGTAACACTAATCTATCTCATTGGCATTCACCGTTACAGCATTGAGAGGTGCTGCGATTCTAAGGGCGAGGCTACAGAAAGGAAATGGAGCTGCAGCTGTTGTTCTAGCTGACGAGCATGTCGAAGGTAACAAAGAATCAACTGTTACAGCAGCTCTGAGCTTTGTTGCCAAAGGGGGAGAACTACTCAAACGTACAAGAAAAGGTACTATGAATTGAGGAACTACACTTACCTTGCAAGAGATACTGCAGTTTTGCCAATAATATTTCTGTTCATGCAGGAGATCTCCATTGGAAACAAGTCTCTTTCAGCATAAATTCTGATTGGCAGGTAATATATGAGAGTACTATTAGACAAATGAACTGAGTTTCAGATCAATGGTAATGTTATATCTGCTCAACTTACATTCTAAAATCCTCAAATAAGTTGTTAGACGGAGAGCAACAAAGTTTACTTGTGCAGCTCACATGGTTGTTATCTCATTCTCCCCTATATCATCAAAACAATAAAAAGCGTATATGATTCATGGTAGCAGGTCATAGCTAAAATGAAAAGCAAGCACATGGCAGGAACATTCACAAAGAAAAAGAAATGTAAGCCCAAAGAAACACTCACTCTAGTATCAAATTGTCTATGTGTTCCTTTATACTTTCATCTAAATTGCTGCTTGATGCGTGCTCAGCTGAGGTCTCTGGAGTCTATTGTGACATAGCAGCATGGCTTGGACGAGACGAGGAAGGTGACGAGCAGAAGTGCTACTTCGGGATACAAACTGCAGACAGGATGATTGAATTCGAATGCAGAAACAAAGGGGAGAAACAAATGTGGGTGGATGGAATTCAACAAATGTTGTGCTGCCGCATGACCATGACATGACTTTGGATGAACATTTCAAAAGAGAATCGATGTAGTAGCTTTTAGTGTGACTTTCAAACTCTAAAATAAGGCATCAAACCAGAGAAGTAATGGATTTATTTCAGCTGTTACATCTATATACAGGGATAAATTACATATTGAAAAAGGCACTGCAATGATCTATCCTTGGTTAATGATGGAATAGATGATCTGAATGATATCACTGGACAAATTGTGACTATTTCTTCAGAAGCATAGTGCGGGATTGAGATGTTTGAGGTGATACTGTATATGTTCACTCTAATTCCTTCATAAAATCAGCATTATCAACAAAAACCTGCAAGATGAAAAAATTATAGAACTAAGATGGAAAGCAAATAAGGAAAAACCTTTTATCCTTCCTATTCTGATACCTACCACAAGTGGAAGAACTAGTGCTCTAACTGAAGCTGAACATATTATTCCAACTCAGACACATGGTTTGAATTAGTCTTCCCTAACTAGATTACACATGACATCATTTCACAAGCCAGAAACCTTACATCAATCGCCAACCTTATAGTGGTGTATTCTTTTGCCATTTACTGATACATCTTGTGTCTCAATTGAACAGACCTAGATATTATCCAATATACTTCAGCTTTACGATTGCAGAAATAACGTTTTGGTCATCAAATTAAATTTGGAATCCAATCCAGAAATAACATCAGTTTTTCCTAAATTCAACAGGTGCTGCATACAGCGATTCTACACCAAAAACTTAGTCGGTGAAATTAACATATCAATTTAGGAAATAGAGTGCCGTCTGCTCTTCACATATTGAAAGAAATAATGTATCTACTGCAGATTTGAAACACCACTTATCTCTCTCACTCAGTGTCTCCCTGTATGGTTAGAAGTGACTAGAGTTATTGCTTATTCTACGGTAGTCCTAGCCAATGGAGTGAGGGTCTGCGAAGAGAAGTTTTCAGTGATTGATCTTTGTATAACTTTGGTTTTGTCCTTTCTTCAAATAAAGCTAGAAGATATTCTAATGATTTCAAGGGATATAACTGTCTTCAAATTTAAACTAGATACTTTTAAACTAGTAGTCTGACAAAATAAAGCATGGGATGTCTAGAAACAAGTATAGGTGCATTCTCTAATGCTGGAAAGGAAACTACCAGTTCATACCAAAGATAATCATAACTGTTGAAGACTTACTGTCTTCCAACCATCAGGATCAAGGCATGCCATGATCTTGGTGTTGATGCCCGGCAACGGTCCAGGTTCAAGCACAATTTCCCCTCCATACAGTTTTATAGCTTCTGCAGTCTTGTAGACATCATTTGTTCCGACTGCAATCTGCAAAGATATATAACGTCACTTACAAGCTGAGACCTACAGAATTTTTGCAAGTCTTGGAAAGAACCGATGATCAATTAACTTCAAATTAGTTTGTTAAATTTTACTTGTCTTACACAATATACTGAACAGTAATAAGTTCACCTAATTTGTAACAATATATTACAAAGAATGGCGTTACCTGAGCATAACCATTTCCTTTATCATAGCTTTTGACACCATAGTTATATGTCAATTCCAGAACAGCATTTTTGTCTTCAGGTCCATAACCCATGACGGCTATTGTGTTCTGAGAACATGTGTTAATTAATAAACAGAAGAGAGACAAAATCATAGATAAGCATTAGGAAATGTCCAAGTAAAAAAAAACAATATATGATGTATAGGGAGCATTATTTTAATAAAATCTAAAGGAGAATATAAGAAGAGACACCATCCTAGTGTAAAGACCCAATCTAGCATGACAGGAATTGTGTACCACCTTGAACTTAAAGTATGTTTGAAAAACCAATGGACAGAGAATCAAGAGCAAAAGGAAACACAAACGACAAGTTGTTTTATTAAAGATGTTGCAGCCATAAACCAAATAAATAAACTTTTACATGAGGTGGTTCACACAATTTAACATATGAAAGAATTAGAGTACTCAACCAAAAACATAAAACAACAATTAGAGTGACCTTATGATCTTTACAAACCCCTTTGGAAGCCCTTTAATAGCCAATGTGAGACAATATATAACTCAGTGCACTTTCCAACAACAAGAGGATTGCATAAGCATACGAACAGGAAAACGTACAACTATAACCACAATAGGACAATATTTCGCAAAATAACCTATAAACTCACTTTGTTATACGGATTATCTCTTTTACGAAGAAGCTCCATGCCAAATGCCTTGAAAAATTAATCACAATGAGGATTTAGTATTTATTGCAATCTAAGAGGACAAGTATGTAAAGAGCAGTTTAAGTTTTGAAGACATAGAACTTTCATCTAGCAAATGTTGCAGTTTACCTTCTTATAGAAATTAATGGACTGGTCAAGATCTCCTACACGAAGCATTACTTGACGGAAAGGTTCAGGAGTAGGCTTTCTCTGTAAAAGCTCAAAATTGTAGCCATCAGGATCTTCCACGAGGGCAATTATAGTTCCTCCAACCTCTGATTGGACCAGGTTCCAGGTCCCTCCTTTAGCTTTTACTAGGTCTACCGTTTTAGCAACCTATATGGAAAATTCGAAAATTATGTCCCGGTAAATATATGTGAACTTCTATAAATAATTATAGGGAGAAAAAAAGAAGACAAAGAATTACTATTAGAAGAGCTTTTCTAAAGGTGTCTAACTGAAATGCTGGTACTTTTCATGGCAAGATGTATGAAAGTCACCAGCAAGTAATGAGCAGTAGAGTAACTTTTAAAACCAAGACCAATCCAACAAGGACAAAGGTAAAAACTAATCAATTCAAAGGCAACTGCACTAAAAACCTGTAAAGCTCGTGATCGCAGTTTACTTGATTGCATGATATCAAAGAAGTATAAATTGAACTGATTGAATTTTTCATCTTATGAACAACTTACATCCTCAACTGAAATTCCAAAATGACCAAAACCAGTTCCAATGTCATACTTGTCAACTCCATAGTCTGAAAGCAAAAGGGAAGTACAATGACTGCAACACCCTAAAATATAATAGCCGACTGTCGAACAAAGTATAGTGGCAACTGCAAACTATGAGGAGCCTTACTGTAAGTAAGTTCAACAGCGAAATTTGTTTCTTCAGGTCCATAACCAAGAAAAGCATTTGAATAACCCTCCTCTGGTATGTCTCGTTTTCTTAACAGCTTCATTCCCAAGCATTCAGTATAGAACCTGTATCACAAGAACGTCTCTGATAACTAGTTGGGAATATGAAACATAGTACTGAAGCTTCAAGTTTTTCTTTTCTGTTAAAAAGTAAACATACTTGATCGTCTTGTCCAAATTCCCAACACGATAAACAACATGGAGCATTCTTCTTTTGTCCTTCTTGATCCACTCTGATGCATTTTCATCACTTAGGGCAATATTTGACTGCGCCAGATCAGCAATAGTTCCACTTTCGATCACTTTCCCTTCGGCGCTAACGGATTCAGGTGCTTTTCCATTGAATAACTGTGACTGAGTGATAGCTGAAAAAATAATGAACTTCAGTTAAGTCCTTTACTAATTCTTCAGTTTTTTATTTCTACTTAAACTAAAGTTATGGTTACATCTAGTAGCTCAACTGCTGTAATGTCCCTTGGTCAGAGTTTCTTAAGCAGCGAATGTGACAAAGAATTTTATGTTCATTAACCGATGCCTCCTACCTTGATTTGGGGTATGGTCTAAACTGTACAATAGGCTTTATGTGAGCTTGGTTTTTGCTCTACTAGTTCTATTCCCATATTCTTCCACTACCCCTCGCTCGACATCATATATCATGTGATTATTAGTTGATCAGTTACAGCTACTTAGAATAATTCATCAATTCAATGAAATGTGAATTATTAGTAGCTCAGTTGGCTACTTAAACTTTTCACCTTGTTGGTGAGGGTTCGATTCCCTACCTTGTAATCCCCTCTCCTATTTCCCCTTCCCCTACCTCCAATTTTTTTCTAAAAAAGAAATGCAATGATATATGCTACATCTTTGATGTTCTAAGAGTTGAAAGATCTTCAAGAAAACCCATTAGTCAAAATAATTTTTAATTCAGGTGATATTAACAAAGTGTAATCTTAGGTTTATGAGCTCGGCATTAAAAAACCTTTAAAGCTAAATCTAGCTTTGAGCAGTAAGACACTAAGACCCTTTCTTTCATTTCTTTTTTTCATTTGGGATTTAGATATTCAAGTAAATTTGTCTGTTTTCTTTTTCTCATATCATCTTTTTCTTATAGTCAGTTTGTTATTTGAATTGAAGTTGGATGAGATAAGAATAAAAGGCCATTCTTTTTTCAGTTAGTTATCCAATAATGTAGAAAAATCACGTAGCAATAATTTATTCATAAGAACTGCATAAGAAGAATGAAATGCAAGAACCTGTACTGAATTGAAATAAAGCAATACGACGAGATGAACTGTAAGCACAAGGCACAAAGACACTGCACCCATTACTTGAAGAAGTAGAAGAAGGAAAAATGGAGTTCAATGGCTGTTGAATTTTAGGAGAAAATATTTGTAAAGCCATTTGTTTGTCTGGAATCAACTGTAACACCGCTGTCCTCTCTATCTATCAACCTTTATCCTAACTTTATTTGGCTGATTTATACGTATGGGTGTGGATAAAAGAGGAGAAAACTTGAATGGTCCCTTAATTATGGCTGAAGGAATTATTTGTTGAGATTAGTGCAAATGGTATTACATCTGTTGGGTAGTAGTATTTTAGTTAGTATTAGTTCATTCTTTGTATTGGGCCTCGAAGCCCACTTTGTAATTTTTTCAGATGTATAGTAGTTTAGACTTTAGAGGTTAATTGAGTTTAATAGTTTGGGCCAGACGGGTCCATATATATAGAGAGGC